GAAAGTCAATGATCCTAAAATTTCAAAAACCCTACCAACTCAACATGATAGTAAATGGGACACAAAATCCAATATAATGCAGATGGTCACAGATGTACTTGATCTGTAAGAAGCCACTCACAGCATGAGAAAAAGGTGAAACTAACAGAAAGTTATGCATAAGTCAGCTCCCTTCCTTGGCTCCCAAGCTCTACCAAACACATGGACTCTTAATCTATGCCAAGAACCATTCTAGTCACTTTCTATGAAGTCAATGCTATACTCATTTTAGAAATAAGAAAACGGAGAGTCAGAGGGAGAAACACCAAAGTCATACAATAAGTAAGGATTCAACCTGTGATTCAAGCACAAGCCAATTCCATCTAAAGCCCTGCTTATTGGATATCCTTTAAAGTCCTTTAGTGAAGATCTATGGCTGTAAGCTTTCTCAGGTTTACATTTTAAACCTAAAAATTCTTAAATTGTACCCTTGTTCTTGACAGATTCGCTTGTTTTGCAATCTCTCTGTTGTTTACTTCTACCAAGAACCAAACAGCATTCTTTGCCCTGGGCCCATGTTAGCTTCCTCAGTGGTCCTAGTTTTATTAGGTTGTATTAGATTCAGCTTCTCACCTGCCCTTGAATCCAAAACAGCCATTTCTTCTTGATTGCAGAAGTGAGCCTCCTCTGTCCTGAGCCCTCAAGTGTTCATTTACGACCATGGTTTCCTCCATTTTTCCCTTCTTACACTTACCTTCTCAGAGTCATTGTTGCCACCCTCAGCCTCCACATTTGTTCAGCTGTCGAACATTATCAACATTCCCTCATAAGAGGTTTTTCATTTGTCCTTGATGTTTTTTGTTGTTTAGAACCTGTTCCTCTCTTGCCACCCATATTTTCTCCTGTAATTCTCTGAAACTCGTCAATGGAAAAATCTTCTAGTTGATTTTCTTAAATTTGCATATCCCTCTCTTTCTCCTCACTAAGACAACACCACCAAATCACACTTCCCCAACACCCGTTTGTAAATGTATAGCTTACAAGCTTTTAATGTATTTCCATTAACTACAGCCGAAGTCAGCACAGTTTTATTAGAACACAGTCGCACCTAGTCACAACCCTATGGTCTGTGGTTGCCTTTTTACTATAACAACAGAATTGAGTGGTTGCCACAGGGATGGTAAGGTCCTCAAGTTCTAAAATACTATAATTTAAAGAAAAGGTCTTCTAATCCCTGAACTGCAGAGTAAATCCAAATCCTAATCTTAATAATTCAAGGATTCCAAAAAGCTTTTCAATCTTCTCTCCCACCAGTCTCCTAAAAGAATTAACCACTCAGTCAAATTACTGAATTAGGCACATACAACCCTAGGCCTTCTATGTGAAATGCACTCCCTCACCATGTTCTATCCCATCCATTCATCAAAAATCTGCAGTTCCTCCAAGGACCCACTTAAACATCTGTATCAGTCCACTTTCACACTGCTGATAAAGACATACCCAAAACTGGGTAATTAATAAAGAAAAAGAATGGGTTAATGGACTCACAGTTCCACATGGCTGGGGAGACCTCAAAATCATGGTGGAAGATAAAGGAAGAGCAAAGGGACTTCTTACATGCCAGGAGGCAGAGAGAATGAGAGCCAAGCGAAAGGGGTTTTCCCTTATAAAACCATTAGATCTTGTGAGACTTATTCACCACCAGGAGAACAACAGCATGGGGGAAACTGCCCCTATGATTCAGTTATCTCCCACTGGGTCCCTCCCACAACATGTGGGAATTATGGGAGTTATAATTCAAGATGGGATTTGGTTAGGGGCACAGCCAAACCATATTGACATGTTTCCCAGCAGAGCTTTTTCTCAACCATCTCAACCTGTAGCTTCACTAATATTGTAACTCACAAAGTATTGCCTTAGAACATTAGTCTAGATTGGCATTTTTCTTCTGATGTATATATTCCATTTCTCCAACAAGACTTTAGACTATAGCTTCAAATCATTTGCATGCTCAGCACCTAGGACAGTGCTATCACGGTATAGTGGAAATGCCGGGAGTGGGGAAAGGAGATTTTGAATTTAGACAGAGACTTGTTTAAAGCTATCTATTTCTTAGCTTCTCTGAGCCTCTTGGCTTATTCAATATCTGTATCCACACAAAGTTTTATAAGCTCAGCGAAGGAGCAACCACAATTGACTTGTTCATTGAGGTATACTCAACTCTTGGCACAGGACCTGGAAAGATTTGCTGAAAGAATGAATAAATGAAAGCTCATTTTAGAAAGTTTGGTTGAAAACCTCTTTCCTTTTTACTTTCCTATACATTAGATGAAAAGAACTCAATAACTATGGTGATTTCATGCTGATTAGAATGCACAGAAACTGATATACAATTGATTTGTTAGATAACAAATTAATATAAATGCAAGGCAAAGATATTTAAATGTGTTAGATTTGTGAAAATTATGTGCTTCAGAGTCTAGGGAAGACAGAAAATTGTTACTCATAAAGATAAACATTTTAAAGAGCTTACCGTCTGGAAATCATGAAAAGCTGCACATTTGACCTCAAAATAATAAGTGGAGTTTCATAAATTCTTGATATGTCAAAGGAAAAAGTTCATAATACCAAAATGAATTGCCTATGAACATCAAACATCCAAGGATTCCCAATCAAGTTTCCTTGGACTATTTCCCTGTAGCCTTTTCCTTTTTTCTTTTTTTTTTTTTTGGTGCTTGGTTGTTATACAGCAAAGACAGATTGATAGATACATACATGCATACATACATGATACATACATAGATACACAGAGATATATAAATATATGAGGAGATTTTCCATGAATCCAATATTTACTTTCTCTTTGCACTGTTCTTGTCAGATATTTGAGTGGAAATTTTGATTTATAAGATTAGGCAGGGCTTTAGTAGGTAGGATTGACTGTGGTTAAACTCAGTTCAACATTAAAGAAATATCATACTGTAGGTCAAAAGCCAAGGACTCACCCCCACCTTGGAGTCCAACAGAGAGCTGAATGATCATGTGTTAAGTCATTTGACCTCTTTGGATTCTTCACCTGAAAAACAAATGGATTGATTGTGTGATCTCTCAGGCTCCTCCTAGCATCAGACAAATCCATGAGCTTTTGCAAACACATGGAGCAATTTGGATTTAAGAGTCATATTAGCTTTATGTTTGTTTCAAAAACACTGTACCTCTCTTCCCTTCACCAAAAAATCATAGAACATCTTTCACTAAAGAAAATCCAAGAGTGCAATGACTTACTTCCAGACAGATTTATTGAAGACAGAAAATCCCAAACACACATTGGCATCAAGAAATCAATACCATACTCTTCTAGGATTTTCAGGAGCTATTTATTTCTCCTATCTTTAGGAAAGAGGAATGGGTAAAAAAAAAAATCTGTGTGCTAATAATGCTGAACAATAAAGCAAATCCCCCCTTCAAGTGATTTTTCCCCTAATTTTCTACATAATTTTACAATAAACCATTCTTCTATGGATATTTCTGTCCAATGGCAGATTCTCTCCCCTGACTCTTTTGACAGCAACTTATTCCAAATCACAAATTTTCAATGTAATGTGGCCATAGCTGCCTTTTGTATCTCTTTTTCTCATTTCTAGCTTTGGCAGCAGTTTCTGTGCATTATTTAAAGTGATCTAGGTAATGTTATTCATAAATGCCTACACCCACCTCCTTTCTCTTCATCCCCCTCCCTTCACATGATCATATTGTGGCTGGGAAGGAGAAGTCAGGTGAAGCACAAAATAATTTATTATACTTTATAATTCCTCAAAGAGCATCTTATCTCTGCTTCCCTCCCACACACATTGTATACACACCACTGCCCTGTGGGTCACTTCAGACACTCAAAGCAGAGTCACACAAAACATATATTAACCATAAATTACCTCTGCAAACCATGTGAATCAGATAGCAGGAAGGCAAAGGGTACATCCAACGAAAAGGCTGAGCTCCATGATTAATGGATTGGACAAACAGGAGGCAAATAAAGAAGACAACTTTAATGAACCTCTGACCCAGCTCCAAGATTTGTGAGGAAGGGGTACCCCCATGCAGGGCTTGGAGGAAAGCAGGAGCCAGGCACAAAGGAAAATAGCAACTGTAAGAATTCCACACTGAGCAAGGTAGAGAAAATTAGGAGCAAAGCTGACTTTATCTTTGAAGCTGTATATTATGACAGTTATATCTCAAATGTTCACTTATTACCAGCCTGTGGGCACAAATGGCCACTGAAAAGCAACAATAATTCAAATTTCACTGGACAATTGTCCCCACTAATGTAAAGCATTCTCTGTCTTACCACTCAGGCATGCCTATGTATCTAAGTGGATATTTTACATGTGTTCATGAACACTTCTACCAATAGATTGAATGTTCCATCGCTTTGCCACATCCAATCATGCATTATTGCCTCACCTGCTACTTAGCCGGACTGCCTGTCCCTGACAGTGACAACCATCACTCCACTAGGTAACACTGTCCATGGAGACTCTTTCATGCCACCCAACAGGACATAGCATCTTCCTGTCACTGCCTGCCACTGACCCACTAGGCTAGAAATCCCCTGAACTGGTTGTTGGTCATTCACCACTCATTTATTCATTCATTTCATTCAACCAGTATTTTGCATCTATTATGTTGCAACTACTGTTTAGGTGCTTTGAATACAGTAGTGAACAAGTCAGATTGCTCTCAAATTTGGTGAAGTGAGAAGAAATTTAAAAGTAAGCAAAAGACAATCTCAACAATTGTTGAATATAACAAAGAAAAAACCTGGCACTGCAATGTCTGTGCATGGATGAGCAACAACGGAGGAAAAGCTTAGGTTAACACCATGGAACACTGAACCAGTTCATCCACCATGACCTCCATTCATTGAAGTTCAACATAGATGATTTCTCTTTAGCCCCCACATCCAGTTAGCAGAGAAGGGAGCAGGAAAGAACAGGCACATTTCCACTACCTTTAAAGACAAATCCAAGAGCTTCTGTCATGAGTGGCACACGTAAGGCAATTCTATTGCTCTTCAAACAGAATCAACATGCAGAGATTTTGGAAGCATTTTTTTTTTAATTTGGGGAGCTGGTGATTGTTTGTCCCAGGGTTCTTACTTTTTAAATAAATTAATTAAATAAAAAGTAAAAGACACATATTCCAAGTAGAATATACCACTTCTTATATTCCACTGTCCATAATTTGATCACATAGTCACATGTTACTGGAAGGGAAGCCAGGAAATATAGCCTTTATTTCAGTACAAAATAAAACTAAGAATCTGGAGCTCAGCTACTCTAAAGGAAAGGAATAAGTAGGTTGGGCCAAGTAGCCATCTAACCCCATACTGGCAAAATGTAGTATTCTTATTTGCTAAATGAGAAAACTATATTGAAGGCAGGGATGACTTGCTCAAAGTTATGTAACTAATGTGAAGCAGAGACGGGATATGAACCTGAGGAAGTTGAGTCTCTCTTTTGGATACTGGAATTAATGTGCTTAAGTAAGTGAGTAAACAAGAAAGATGGAGAAGGGAAAGTGCGTTAGGAAAGAGGAGAAGGGAACCAGCTCAGACTTCTTTAATTTTCATACCCCCCAAAAAATACAAATATTTTTTATGAAAAACTTCTAACTTCAGAAATGAAAGTCATATCTACCTCATTCCTTCTTTGAGGATTAACCTCATTGAAAAATCTCAAATATGAATGAAATTAGACTGACAACAATGATAGAATGCAATCTTGAAAGTCATTTGAATGCAGAAAGAGGGTCATATGTGGGGAGGGACTATTTAGCATTACTAGTTTTCCAATTTAATACAGCATTAAAAACAAGAAAGCTAACTCTTGGTTAGCCAATGAGGCATGAGTATCTCCGCTGCTTTCTCAGTGTAATAAGGAGCAAACAGAAAAGCAGATGAACCCAAAAGGGCAGGGGTTGCATTCAAGCAAATTTGCACAGTGGTAATTCTACATTTTCACAATCACTAATAATCCTTCAAATTATGTTTATATTTTGTAGAAATGAAAGGACTCAAGAGGCTTCTGGTTCAGGTGGATTTATCAGAATTTGCCCTTTAGTCAATGCAAGACATGGCATTTTCAAGAACACAAGTGTATCAAGACATTCAATCAAGAATGTTGGACTGTGTTTCTCTCTGAGAGATTAGGCAGGTTTGGGGAACACAGGCTGTGGAGGTTGTGTAGAGGAGAAGGCTGTCGAGGAAAGGCTCTGAAGGAGGATGGTCACATGGAGAGCAATCACAATGCAACCTCTCGTTTCTCTATCACACAAGTCTTCTTAAAGCTATAAAATTAAGATAGTGCTGTCTTGGTAGTTTCTCATGAAAGCCAGCAAGGAGCTGATGGCTGGAGCTGACAGAACCCAAACAACCCTAAGAATACAAGGGAACTGCAAAGAAATGAACTCAGAAATTTGAACTAATTCATGGGAAGCCCTTACAATAGCTGTGTAGTTTTCAACCAAATGTTTCTAAACCTTTGAGGGATAAAAAATATGCAAGTGAACGGTGAGTTGCACGAGAAAGAAAATCCCAGATCTACACTGATAATGAGTTCGGATACTTTGGCACTTGGGAACTACCATTAATTGGTTAGTTAGGGGAGTTAGTGACTCCTACACACTATGTTTAGTAATAAAGAGAAATCACAAGAGAGATATGAAGGAAGTAAAGAAGAAGGGAGGGAACTAATATTGTTTACCACCTACTATGTGTTAAGTTGTGTGCATCCCATATTTTCTCTCATTTAATTCTTACAACAACCCCTCTGAGGCAAGCATGGTCCCAATGTGGAAATGTTAAAGCTGAAACTTAAAGAAGATAAACATCTTACCAGATGTTACTCTGCTTGGAATGGAGGAGCTGTCTGAGAAGGGTAAATGTTGGCTTCTGACTCAGCACTCCAACAGATCTGTGGAAATGCTTACCCACTATCCAAGGCCCTTAGCAGTCACTGGAGGTCAGACAATCAAGCAAAATGGCCAAGTGTCCATAATGGTGCCATAAATCAAAACAATAGGATCAGGTTCACTCATAAATCGTCCTGCTTCCAGCCAAATCAAGAAGATTCAATCTTCTGGCACTAAAACATTGAAGAAGTTTCTCAGACTCAATTGAGACTTACCAGATTGTGTTCACCTTGTTCTTTCTACAAGGAATAAAATGTCAAGGCAGGGTAAAGCACTTATAGCCATGGCAATGGTGTGGCATCAAATCATCCACAGAACTCTTTCAGAATACTCAAGTCCAGACCCTCCCTTCTGGAAATTTGAATTCATTAGACTTTGGTCAGACCAGAAAAGATGCATTTCTAGAAAGATTCACGAGGCATGTTATGTACACATCATTGTGATTCTGACATAGGCAACACAGTTGAGCCCTACTTTAATAAAATTAACGATAGGAGAAGACATCCAATTTAATAAAAGAACCCAGGCAGTCCGATTCAAATGTTTTAAAATGGTTTAAATGTATTAAAAATGGTTTAAAACATTTTTAATAAAATTTACCTTAATTATCATGGAGACTGGTAAAGATGAAAACTATAAAGCAAGATTTCATCTCTAACTACCAAGAGATCAACAGGAGTTTGGAGAGCAGCCTCTGGATATGTGATCATCTCCAGATAAGCAATAATGCTCCTGGTAAGCCTATTTTAGGAGACAGAACATTGGCAAGTATGATTTCCTTCCTTGCCAAGCCCTTTGGTAATGTGCAGCTCTTGTGCCTTGGGCAAGACTTGTTTATTTGTAGTTTTTCACCTTGAGAAGCTCCTGGAGTTCATGATCGCCACTAGAAACCCACTTGCTGGATGTATAGTCAATGATGTTTCACATTCAGCTGGCTTCTCCACTTCCATTGTCCAGCCCAATTTATAGTATCCTTACACTCACAAGCTACTTTACCATAACACACACTTTACATGGTGATTTGATTGGAAACTTTTTCCATATATGTTTCCCACATGTAATCCAAAACTATGTAAAGACACGTAATGGAAACATGACAGAATATTTTATGATTATCATTAAATTGAGTGTTTACTATGCACCAGGTAATTTAAGTGTGTTATGTCTATTAACTTACTTAATCATCACAGTAAATCCATGAAGTAAATACTATCCTTCACGCTACCAGTAAGGAAATCAAAGCAAAGAACAGTTAAGTAAGATGACAAAAATCACAGTGCTAGAAAATGGCATAGGTAGGGTTTGAATTCAAACAGACCGATTCAAGATAACCCACAAATCCTCTTAACCTCAGCATGTTGCTCTCTTTCCAGTTTGTTCTTCACCCTGGGTATTACCTCACCTTGGCATCAAGCTTCTGTTCAAATTACCAAATTCTCCTTATGTCCCATTTTGCATTGATTATATCACCTGCCATTGAGAGATCCAGTGGGGAGAATCTTTACTCCTTCTCAACCAGAAATACACGATAGCCAATAATTGTACTAAAAATGTGTAAATGGAAGTTTAGTATAAATATATCAGTATAATAGTACAGAGAATATAATATGCAAGAATACATAATGGAACCCATGTACCCACTATTGGCCTTTGCTTACTAGTGTGCACATAGGGTTTCTTTCCCCTCTAAGTATTATAAATATTTTACTATGAAACAGTGGCTGAGTAGAAAATGTCTTGAATCAGACTGCCTGGGTTCAAAAATCGACTCCAGCAATTAGTGGCTATATGACACAGCCACTAGCTGTGGCCAGTTATTTAACCAACCTGGGATTCTGTTTCCTCCTCTATAATAACAATAATAAGCATTACTATGGCTAGGCACCATACTAAGTGTTTTTCAGGTATTAATCCATTTAATCCCCTTTAGAAATTTATTGAGTAGCCACTAACCTAATAGTACAGTGACTGTCACGTAGAGTTCTCAATTGAACACACAATTGAGTATGTATGTATGTAAACAAACACGCAACACATACACACCTTAGTATACAACATGAAACTCAGTACAATTGTCTGTAGGTGACTACATTCATTTTAAGAACCTGATATTTTCCATTCAAACCTGAATTTTTAATCCCAGTGCTGGTGGAAGAAGCAGAGAAAACCTGAGGATCTCTCTCAGAATGAGACACTAAAAATGGTAGGAGTCAGGGATTCCCTGATTGTCTTAGAAGAACTTGTTACCCCTCGTCCCAACTCCAAGAATTGACAAATTGGTGGTTAATGGAGATATTGAAGGCCAGTGTCATATTTTTAAAAAGACAACAGTAAATTAAAATAAAAATGTATAGCACAAAACATAAACCAGTATTTATAATTTTTATAAAAGTTCTTTGTCATTAAGGGGACTACATTCAAAGAGGAGAAGGTGCTAGGTTAGCCACAGAGCAAGAGAAACCCTAAATCTTGCCCCATGGCATGGGAGGAAACCTGTGATTTGGTTGTGCCTGCTGAAGAAGACCCCTTCTTTGCCTTTATTCATTACTTGCACCAACTTCATGCCAATGTGCCACTTTACACCTTGGGAATTGATCATTTTCTCTTCATCATTCCATTTCCTCTAAGGTTCTACATAAAGCATTGCTATCTAAGGGCCCAACAATAGTAACTTTTGGGAAATCTAAGGCATCATTAGTGTGCAAGTAAGCAACCATCTCTTAATAACAGCTTATCTTTGATCATACAAAGACTAAACAAAAATTTTCTCAGGTCTTTACCATGATTGCTGAAAACATAAATTATTTATAATAGAGTACTTAATCCTGAAAACACGGAGCACAGTCATGAAAACTGCAACTCTATATGAGATGGAGTAAAACCAAACTTGTCACATAAATAAAACCTAAACCATTAACAGCACACTTGAAGGGATACTGCCATATCAATCTCAATCGCTCATATACCCAACAGAAACTGCATTCTTAGAAAAATATCAAGGCAAAAAAGATAGATAAAAAAGAGGAGGAATTGGGGGAGGAAAAAGAGAGGAGAAATAGAGCATAAAAAGAGAAGGAAGAATAAAAATGGAGAAAGACGAGAAGGATAGAAAAAGGAGGCAAAGAAGAAAAATAAAAAGAGAAAGTATTATTATATATTATTGTTTACTTTTGCAAGTGTTCACC